GAAGCGAAAGAGAGCTGGTCCGTTTGAGAGCGAACCAGGCTCTGATACCACAAAATGTCACGGGCTTGAGTTTTGGAATACTCAATCCGTGTGGCAAACGACCAAGTGGGACGTGAGAGAGCCCAACTCGAGTCGAACAAGCCTATGGCTCAGATAGAGTCCGAGGTTTTGTGGGAAAAGGAGAGATGAACGAGGAGGGATCCGAGAACGACCAAGGGAAGAAAGCCGACGACACGACTGAGTTTATTAATCAGAAAAAGGAGGTACAAGAGAACGACGGTGGCTCGGAACAAGGGAGGAGAGACGACGGGGTTTCGTGGACCACCGAGGTTCATCCAAGACGAGCCGGCGACAAGTAGAAAAGAGAATGAGACGCAAGAGAGAGATGAATGTGGGGGTTTTCCGTTCTGGTCATTCAAGGGAGCCGGCGAGGTCTTTTTATGAAGGCCGAAACTCTCCTAGATGACCAAGTGGTTCCCATGATTCCCTCATCAAGATCCTCATTCAAATTCAAATTCAAAATTCAAAATTCAAACTAACCAAGATCTACTTTGACCTAGTCGAACTAAGGAAGTAAAGAGGACCCTTGGGCCAAGAGATGGCCATGAGAAACCCATCGGGCTCGTCCATGAACTTGGCAAGGACCAAGACATTGGGTTTCGGCCATTCTCGGCCATGGGCTGAACCTGACGTGGCTTGGGCTTGGCCATGACTTGGAGCTGAGCTGGAGGGGTGCTGGAGGCTGGGCGTGATGGGCCGAGGCTGGTCCGAGGTCCATGGTCTGCTGTGGCCCGCGCTTGAAGTTTCTCGGACACGCCCGCAAGGCTTTCTCGGACAGCAGCGGGTTTCTCGGACGTCCGACATTTCTGGTCGTCCGTGAAATATGGACGTCTGTGTTTGTCGGTCGTCTGGTCCATCCTGTGGTCCATGTCCCTTGGTCAGGTCCGAGAATCTTGGTGGTCAGTGTTTCTCGGTGGGTTGTCCGAACACGTGCGTGATTTCTCAGACATGTGCGTGCGTTAGTCTCGGACAGGTGCGGGAAATCTCGGACAGGACGCATCTTCCTCGGACACGTGTGTGTCTTGGGCTCGGACAGGTCCGAGGTTTTTCGGACAGGTCGCGAGTTTCTCGGGCAGGTGCGCAGAACTTCGGACATGGACGCGGAAAGCTCGGACTTGTGCGCATTTCTTCGGTCATGTGCGTCCGTGACTGTGTCCTTGTCGGCTTGCTTGGTGACTGTACCTACACGACCACATGACCCAAAAACAAAGAAATAGATAAGGAAAGCGAAAAATTACCCATTTTTCCTCACATATGGATGTAAAATTAAAAAAACGCACAAATTGGAAAGTTACATTCTCTCTCCTCTAATCACATTTTTCCTCTTTCCTCTCCTTTCTATTTCATCCGCCATTGAAGATAAATTCAATATAAAATCTTACTTTTTTCTCCAGTTTTTCATGCAATTTAAGACGAAATTGGATGAAAAGATAAAATATAAATAAGACCCAATGATTTTCGAAAATTAATTTTAAAGTTATACATGTATGTTAGAATTTGATATTGTTGAGTAAAACTAAGATAGAAATTACGGTATGAAAAAATAAAGATGATTTATTTGCTCTTTTCTCCGATTTTTCATGCAATTTAAGGCGAAATTTAGTGAAAAGGTACAACACAAATAAGACCCAATAATTTTCGAAAATTAATTTTAAAGTTATATGTGTGTTAGAATTTGATATTATTGAGTAAAACTAAGATAGAAATGACGGTATGAAAAAAATAAAGATAAATTATTTGAATGAAAAGGAGATGAAAATAACCAAAAGAGTTTCTGAAAAATGTTGAATTCAAGATGAAAATAAAGAAAGTTTCACATGATTCATATTTCAAACACTATGTTTCTAAAATGTGAATCATCGTATATATATTGTATATTTCATCAGTTAGCTATTACCACTTTTTGAAAACGAATCAATCATTACTATAATGATTTTTTTGGTGATTTTTTTTATGAATTGACGATTTTGTGCATTTTCTAAGTCAGATAGAATAATCAACTCTAATCGGCTAATTTTTATCATTTTTTGGTAGCAACTGAATCTCGAATATAATGAATATTTTGATAAAATGGCTAATTTATGTGTTTTGCAAGTTCTGTGGAAAAATCTACTATAGTCATAAATAAGTAATAATCGTTAAGTTACATTTACGAAATTGTTCAGAAAATAATGTCAAATAATTAGTTAGAATAAATCAAAGGTCAAAACAAATAAAAAAGTTAAAAAGTCAAAAAATCAAACATATAAATTATATAAAAACAAATTTAAAAAAGTCAAAAAAATCAAATATGTGACATATTGAAAAACGGCGTGAATTTGTTTTTATCTGTCAAAACTAATTTATTATGACTTAAATACGATTTATTTGTGACTTCACACATAAGAAAAAAATCCGAATAAAACTTGTATTTTATTGAGAATGATTCAACATATGATGAATATAAACTAATTATATGAAAATAAAGAGTTTTAGGTCACAAGTCACAAATTAATTAAAATTCTATACATTTGTTAACATGTAATAGTAAATGTATATTAACCAACTATTCACACATTCAATCACATTACATAAAATGAATCAAAATATTCAATTTTTCGAAATTTGTTAAAAATATTAATTCAAACCGATTAATATCACTTTATTAGTTGAATTTCATCATTATTTGACAAAATCAAATCGAAATTCACGATCTTTTTAAAAAATTTACAAAAATTGTATGGTGGCAAATAGGTCGTAATTAAGTCGTAAATATATGGTTGTGATCGATTCCCGAGACAAAATTAGTAACTTTCTTCCGATTGGATCCACTTTCTCTAGCTACTTTATCTGCGCGGTTTTTCATATTATTTTAATTTTTTTTATCTTTTTTATACACAAGTTTGTTTCACGAGTAAAAACGACTCAATTACAATAATTTTTTTTATCGTAATTGCCACTCGTTATTTACAACTGCCCTTATTCAAAAATCACACGTCATAGATTTATTAAAGACTTGTAGATTTCTTATAATCCAACAATGAATGAATACGAACCTTATATGAACACTTTTATCTATGTTATGAGAAATGTACAAAAATATCAATTTTGTTTAAAATGTGAATGCAAACCGACTATTATTACTTAATTGAAAGGTTTCTATCATCATTTAATAAAATCGAATCAAAATTATCGATTTTTAAATAATTTTAAAAAAATTCGTTAGTGGCAAGTACGTCGTAATCAAGTTGCAATTATTTAGTTTTTGGCGAGAATAAGACAAAACATCTTCTTTTTTTTAATAGGGTTGAGCCCACTTTTTCTCAGTCAAAATTGTTATTTTTTTGCTATTTTTTATATTATATACGTTTTTCTATAATTTTTTTATACACAAAATCGACGCAGATAAATTTGGTTACAAATACTACTACCTTTTGGTCACAATCTACTCTTTTTTGGAACTTTGTTTTTACAGTACATACGATTTTATATACTTTTTTATGCACAAGTTTTTTTATCCACGACATACTGCATTCACAAAAATATACTGAACAAGTTTAATGGTAGCAAAAACATCTATAGGTTAAACTTCAAGTGAAGTTCTGGGCATGATAGTTCTTGGGTAAAGAATCGAAGCGCTGATCTCGAACGTCTCGTCGGCGATGGTTATGGTGGTCATGCATCCATCGATAACATTGTGACGCTCAAATATCATGATCCGAATTCCAACAAGGTCGCCGAAAACAAAGTAAACATATAAGAAATGGACCACAAAATAGCCGCCGATTTCGCTTCCGATGATGTAGACGTAGGCAGCGCGGCATCTTCACCACTTTCGGAAGGGAAAAGTGATAACTACTGGAGAACAAAGAAGTGCATAAATTTATCAAGCCTTGTTTATGTACATAATGTATACATATACACATATACGAAAGAGATTTTTATATACATAACTGTATATGTACACATATACGAAAGAGAAGTGTATAGGCGAGAGGCCCCACATCGACATCGAGAGATGTGTACCCACCGTCGGGTCTGTACTCGTCGTCCACACTTCTTCTTTGTCGGACCGCCGTAAAGTCACTCCATCACTATAGAGAAAATTTCATCTAGGTATCTGAAAATTTCGAATTTCGATCGCAGGACTTATCATTTTAATCGATCTAAAATTGTTCGTTTGGTTTCGAAGTTTGTTTTGCTTCATATTTTTTATTTTAAGTGGATTTTTTTACCCACACGTATATATACTGATACACGTTTTCTTTCAATAAAGTCATCATAGTCTTTTTCTGATTTTTTAAGGGTAAGAGCGTAATTTGATAATTCCGTATCAACGAAATTGGTGCGACACGACAGGTTTGGTGTATCTGTGAAGTTTACCCCGCAGAATTAGAAGCTTCTCCGATTGCTCAGGAGAAGAAAATCAACGATATATTCTTAATTTACGCCCTTTTCTGTTTTGTGTTCTCAATTTCTTCCCTTTATTTTGTTTTAGTTCAATTTAGTCCCTAAAACTTCATCCATTAAATCCTTACGAAATGTAACCTTTAGATTGGAATATATGGGCCGAGTGCAAGGCCCAATAATATGATCTTAATTTTTAAGACAGAGGAAACAAAGGCTCCATTTTTTTTGTTTTAAAAATTGACGATAAAGAATTTTTAGGAAAAAAATATTCATTACTTTGTGAGATATTTTAGTATATGTAGATTTAGTGATCTGTTACATTTCACAAAGGTAACATATCAGAAATTAAAACGTTTCCATAACAGAATTAAATTCCTTATGCTGTTTTTAGAAAGTTCATTTTATAACTTGAATTTAATGCAATTTTATTTTCTATTATATATACACTCGAAAACTCGTCATTCACGTGAAATCGTAATTTGTGACATAAAGGAAGGGTGATTTCGTCATTTACGGTCCCGTGGTTCTCCGTAACTGTCTCGGAACAAAAGAGGCCTTACTGTTTTCAGACGCTCGTTTGGTTCCCTCTCCTCCTTCTTCTTTGCTCACTGTATCTCTCCGTTGATCTCTCTGCAGAGTTTCTTTCTCTATATTATCTCTCTTTGGAATCTTCCTCGATTTTTTCTGGCCTTGGTTCGAATTGAATCGGTACGTGAATTCTTCTGCATTCTGTCGATGTTTCTTCTGCATTTGCGCACGCCTCATGAACTAGTTTTGCGTAATGTATTTGGGCATGATGCAATTGGATGGGATCATTGATCTGTATTCAGGGATTTTTGTTTCCATGTTTGTGATCTTTGTTTGTTGATCGTTGTTTGGTTGGATCTACCCCTGAATCTGGAGAATTTTGCTGTATTTGATTGCTACAATTGTTCCTCGACTGGATCTGGACCCGCGTTTTGCTGATTTTTAGATCTTCTTCAACAACTCTAGCTTTCCAAGCAAATGAGGCTGCCACCTGTTTAGATCCCCCAATTTATCTATTAGAATTCTGGATCCTTTTGATTGGAAATGTCATTGGATCTCAATTCTCTGTTTTTGCTTACTGGTGAGCTATTAGTGCTTGTGGAACAATAGTTGGCATTTCCTTTTCGATTTTGAAATTTGATTTCTGATGTATGAATTCTCGTATTGTTGCTGGTATGAGCTGTGCTTGGCTTCGTAGGTTGTAAGGATATATAAAGATCACTCGTCTCTTAATACCATGATTTCCCGAACAATCCACTTTTTCATATCGGAGAAGTTCATGAAGTTGCACACTTGAAATCGTTGGCGATTGATCGAAGTTGGTTTAGGCGTTTTTCTTCTCTTGTGTCATATCTCTTATGTTATCAAGATAGAGGGTTTGTTGTTTCGTGTAATGGATAAGGCATAGATGTCTTGTGCTAAATTTGCGTTTTTGCAAATGCAGGTATTTATTCCAAATGGCTACGTATAAACCCAAGAACATCCTCGTTACAGGGGCTGCAGGATTCATAGCGTCTCATGTTGCAAACAGACTAGTACGCAGCTACCCAGATTACAAAATTGTTGTGCTAGACAAGCTTGATTACTGTTCGAGTCTGAAGAACCTTAATCCCTCGAAATCTTCTCCCAACTTTAAGTTTGTCGAGGGAGACATCGCTAGTGCTGATCTCGTCAACTACCTTCTCATCACCGAAAACATTGACACCATCATGCACTTTGCTGCTCAAACCCATGTTGACAACTCTTTTGGCAACAGCTTTGAGTTTACCAAGAACAATATTTATGGTACCCATGTCCTTCTGGAAGCCTGCAAAGTAACTGGTCAGATCAGGAGGTTCATCCATGTGAGCACAGATGAGGTATATGGAGAGACTGATGAGGATGCTGCAGTGGGAAACCACGAGGCGTCTCAGCTCCTTCCTACAAACCCATACTCTGCTACCAAGGCTGGGGCTGAGATGCTTGTCATGGCTTATGGTCGATCATATGGGTTGCCAGTTATAACAACTCGTGGAAACAATGTTTATGGTCCTAATCAGTTTCCTGAGAAGTTGATTCCTAAGTTCATCCTGTTGGCCATGAATGGGAAGCCTCTCCCGATCCATGGGGACGGATCCAATGTGAGGAGTTACCTGTATTGTGAAGATGTAGCTGAGGCCTTCGAGGTGGTTCTTCACAAAGGGGAAGTGGGTCACGTCTACAATGTCGGGACAAAGAAAGAGAGGAGAGTGATTGATGTGGCTAAAGACATATGCAAACTGATCGGAACAGACCCTGACTCCTGCATCCAGTTCGTGGAGAATCGGCCTTTTAACGATCAGAGGTACTTCCTTGATGATCAGAAGCTGAAAAACTTAGGATGGTCTGAGCGAACGGCATGGGAAGACGGTCTGAAGAAGACAATGGAATGGTACACTCAAAACCCTGACTGGTGGGGTGACGTCTCTGGTGCTTTACTTCCCCATCCAAGAATGCTTATGATGCCTGGAGGAAGACACTTGGACTGTTCCGACGAGAACAAGGACACATCTGCTGTTGCAGAAAACCCTAATCAGACAGCACATATGGTCGTTCCACCCGTGAAATCCGGTGATAAACCGTCCTTGAAGTTCCTGATCTATGGCAAGACCGGATGGATAGGCGGTCTTCTGGGGAAACTGTGCGAGAAGCAAGGGATTCCATTCGAATACGGAAAAGGACGGCTAGAGGACAGAGCATCACTTATAGCCGATATCCGCAGCATCAAACCTAGTCATGTCTTCAATGCAGCGGGTCTAACAGGCAGACCGAATGTAGACTGGTGTGAATCTCACAAAACTGAAACCATCCGTGTGAACGTCGCCGGCACATTGACTCTGGCCGATGTTTGCAGAGAGAACGATCTCCTGATGATGAACTTCGCCACCGGATGTATATTCGAGTACGACTCTGCGCATCCAGAGGGTTCGGGCATCGGCTTCAAGGAAAAAGACAAACCTAATTTCACCGGTTCTTTCTACTCCAAAACCAAAGCGATGGTAACACATGTTCTTCTCTTTAAATAAACTGCTCCCTCGAAAACAAAGATTCCGTCTTGTTTTATACCAATTGCCCGTCGTTTCTTGTTTGCCTGCCCAGGTCGAGGAGCTATTGAGAGAGTACGAAAATGTGTGCACGTTGAGAGTGCGAATGCCGATCTCCTCGGATTTAAACAACCCTCGTAACTTCATCACCAAGATCTCGCGCTACGACAAGGTAGTGAACATCCCGAACAGTATGACCATACTGGACGAACTCCTACCGATCTCGATCGAGATGGCGAAGAGAAACCTGAAGGGGGTGTGGAATTTCACCAACCCCGGGGTCGTGAGCCACAACGAGATCCTGGAGATGTACAAGAAATACATCGAGCCGGGATTCGAGTGGTCCAACTTCACATTGGAAGAGCAGGCGAAAGTCATAGTCGCCCCGAGGAGCAACAACGAGATGGATGCATCCAAGCTCAAGGAGGAGTTCCCGGAGATGTTACCCATCAAAGAATCACTTGTCAGATATGTCTTCGAACCCAACAAGAGGACCTGAACTTATTACCTCTGTTAGGTAGTTTTCCCTTCCCTTGCGAACTCCGTTTTCGATATTGGTTTCATCATTATTCTTGAAACTTTCTCGGATCCTAAGACTTTAGTTTGTGTTCGAGCTCGACAGGATGATACACATCTTTTGGTCTCAATACTATCATATATATGAATGAATTTTACTTCTTTATTTCCAGATCATCGATTCAAATGAATCCGATCCACGAACACCATGCGGTTATATTCGAATTCGGTTATTTCGAATTTAAAAAAATGCGACCATTCAATTTTTGTATTAAATCTTATTAGGTTCGATTTGTATTATTTTCGGTGGCAAAAATGTTCGGTTTTTTTGGTTATTTTTTAATTCATTTCAAATTCATATTAGTTTGGCATCTTCTGGTTTTGAAAAAAATAATAATAACTCGATTTTTATATCAAATTCGATTTAAATTTCGTTATACATTATTCGGTTTCTATCGGTTCAGTTATTTGATTAAACCAAATTGACCATCTCTAGTATAATAAATTAAATTAAACAAAGAAGAAGCTGGAGCTTATACAGACAAGAACAAGAGAGAATGGAGACAAGACATATCCAATAAACTAATAATTCGATGTGATAAAGACGTTAGGGTTTTGAGTTACAAGAACCACGTGTCCCCATCCCCCATCTATCGGTTATTGTTCTTTCTAAATGCAATCACAAAATGTGTGTATGTACTCTCCCTCATCTCTCGGCTGACTTGGACTGTGGACTGTAAAGGACAAACTAATCTCAGGCAATAGGAACAAAGGAAGGGTGAACTGAACGGTAAGAGCCAGAGAAAGGGACAGATACCTCGGATTTGGCTTCAACACGTTGGAAGAGCATATTGTCTCAACGGCACCACGGTGTCTTTGGTTCGGTTCAATGTATGTAAGATGATCAGAGGCACTGTCAGTATTTGAAAATGGGTCGGACCTCCTATAGAGCAGACTGATGATTAGAAACCGTACCTTCGGTTTCCGGTCTTAACCAGTCACGCGCGCAGAACAAGGCTTGTCTGACATCGGGGCTCAGCGAACTCTGGCCGTTATCAAGCATCGGTCGGCTCGAACTGAACTCTGATTCGGGTGTAAGTATCGACATTCGTGTGCTGAGAATTTCGCGGGCCATCATCGAGAGAATAGGGTATCTCGGGGTGTGGACTTTCCAATAGTTCAGTATGTTGAACTCGCCACTCCTGGGAAATATCGGTTCAGACAGATACTTGTCCAAATCGGACGCTCCAGCTTGGCTTTGTGAAGTTTCGTGCAGGTATTTGTCGAATCCTTTCAATCTGTCTCTGGTTTCGCTGCTGATTCTACCCAAGCCAGAGCCGGAAAAGGATGAAGAAGAATCTTCATCGACTATAGTTGAGCAGATAGAATACGCATCAAAAAGCTCTTTGAAACCGTTAGACACTTCCTTGATACGTTCCAGAGCTGTAGTGCCGTATATTTTAGAGTAGTAATACTCGACCAACTTCATCTTGAACCGAGGATCCAAGATTGCCGCCATTGCTAAAACCAAGCTGCATTTGCTCCAATACTCGTCGAATTTAGCCTTCATCTTCTCCGCAAGAGAGCTGAGAAAGTGATCCTGGTCCTTGCACCACTCGATCAACTGGATGTGGATCTCACACATCTCGGCAAAGTAAATGTTCGCTGTCGGGCATTTATTTCCTGATAGGACGGTGATGACGTCGAGAAAAAGCTTGAGATACCCCGTAACAGATCTTGTCCACTCCCATTCTTCATCGGTTAAAGCTGAATCAAACTCATGGTCGTGGTCTCGCAAGTGACAGAATGCACCCTTGTAATCCAAAACTGTTTCAAGCATCAAGTAAGTTGAGCTCCACCTAACAGTAGAATCGAGAACCAAGACCTTCTCCGAGTTGATTCCGGCAAGTTGTGCGATTTCGTGGAACTTTCCTTGAGTTGCTTGTGAGCTCTTGACATATCTTACACATCCTCGGATCTTTCGGATCACATCTCGTGTAGCTTCCAAGACATCTTGGACAATGGAGTTCAGAAGATGAGCAGCCGATCTCACGTCGAATAACTGTCCGTTGATTATGCGCGATCCACTCTGGGACATGTGGCCTTTGATTCGCTGGAAAATATCATCGTTTACGGAACAACTGTCAAAGGTGATGGCGAAAAGCTTGCCTTCGAGATCCCATTCCATCAAGCAGTTGATAATTACTTCAGAGAGCATGTCTTCGGTGTGGGATGGATCCAGGGTGATAAAGTTGAGAACTTTCTTATGCAGCTTCCATTCCTCATCGATATAATGAGCGGCCAAACACACATGGTTAGCGTTATCCTGAGAAGACCAATTCTCGACCGTCAGGTTGATCTTACCGTATATACTGTTCACTATGTGTTGTATCCTTTGCTTCTCTCTGATGTAAATTTCTATGCAGGAAACCTCTATGGAGCTATTTGGCACGGCTTCGAACAATGGCTGGAGATTTGTGGCAAACACCTTGAACCCTACATGATCAACCATGCCTAGCGGGTAACCATGCAGTATGATCATACGTGCAAGATCGGTCTGACTCCTTTCTTGGCTGAACCTGCCACTTCCACGGCTTAGAACCTCGTCCCTCCGTTGATCCTGGTCAAGCTTAACAGCTATAGGTTTGAGATAATCGTCTTTTGTTTGACCCTCGTCAAAATTCACATTTGCAATTGTCACTGTGTTGTCCTTTTTCCTTCTTTTTGGCGTCAGCAGCTGAGAGACATCGTGATTAGTCCTTTTCAGACATCGCATTAGATGATTCCTCAGATGAGTTGTTCCGCTGTTACTTGATCCACTGAGTTTCTTATTACACTGAATGCAGACAGCGTAACAAACATCGGCCTTCCTTACCCTCTCAAAGTAATTCCAGACAACAGATGTCAGCCTCTTTGATTTCTGCAGGATCATCTCATTTGATGCATCCATCATACAGAGCAGGGAGATGAAATTCTGGATCAAACCCTGTTCATAGTTAGAACAACAAATTAGACTGAAACGAGGATTATAAAGCACCCCTTTTTTTTTCCTCGTCGGCAGGCTTACCATACCTCCATTCATATAGTAGATCTCAAGAAGGAAAAACTTTGAAAGCTAGAACACACGAAACAAATATAACCAGAAAGCTTCAACATCGCCTTATCCCAAGTTTAATTGGGGTCGGCCGCATGAATTCCGACCATAGAAATCCATATGATTCTGCATTTTTCTAATGCACATACACTTGTATGAAACTAGACCAGCTTAAGATTACCTCCATTCATGGCCATCATTGTCACAAGTGGATCAATGAACTCTGAGCCATTCACATTAATGATTAAAAACAAAAACCCATTTAAAAGGGATCAAACAGAAATTCAAATGCTCAATATTCTTCATCCCATACAAAGCTCAGCAAGGAGCTAAATGCCAACATCTCATCAACCTCAGAAACCAAACAAAAGAACCGATATTTCAGCATAAGACATCTCAGAAACGACAAACACTAATGGAAAAAACCCAAAATGCAGATAAACCCTTTTCGATTCTGCATACGGTAACGCCAACGTGAAAGCACATGATCAAACGAATTCCACGGGAATCAAATTACAGATGGAAGAGAATAAATTAGAAAAGAGTGCGAAAGGAGAGAATGGTAAAACGAAGAGTGCGAGAATCTTACCTCCTTTAATAAGAAAAAATAGTCGAACAGTCGTCAGAATCCGAGCAGGCTCCAATCGGATGATCCGGTGAGTTCTTCAGGGTTGCGGGCGAGAGAAGATGGGTCCGATATCAGAGTTTTGGGTAAATAATATCCGAATTAGGGTTCGGGTGGGTTCCGGGTCGTACTTAAACCGGTTAAAAGAGTCAAGGTTAACCGAACCGGTCCTGAAACCGACTTTTGTCCGGTTTCGTTGACGGGTTCCGGGATCCGGATCCGCATCCCCACCCCGGATTTTATTGCGTATTGCGTATTGAATTATTTTTATTAATATCATTTATTAAAATAATTAGGGCCTTTTGGTTGCATTCAAATCTGAACCCGTAACTATTAGAAATCACGTTCATATATATATATATATATATATGGTTCTCTTTCATCTTTTATGTGTTTTCTTTCATCTTCTTCAATATTATTTTTTTATTTAAATCTCAAAACCTAGTTTCAGATTGAAATCTCTGTAATAATTATAATAATCGTATCCAAGTGATTCAACCGTAAAAATGTATAAAATTATTTCTCAATCCAAATTCGAATCTTTATCTAAGAAAAAGTATTCAATTACCTTTTCAGATTTTGTGATATATATATTCGAAACTTTCGGATTATTAAAAAAATTCAAGAGTTATTAAAAAAACAGATCCATCTTCTCGCAAAAAACGGAAGAATCTCTCTTTCTCTCTCTTCTTTCACGATGAACCCAAAAAAACACAAACTTGTTGTTACAGATTTTTTTTTTTTTCAGTTCCCATGTTGCTGGAGCCAACCAGGAGGAAGACGATCAGACACGACTTGAGGAAAGCTTAAGACGTTGATGTCCAGAGGGTACAAGCGGTACTGAATATCGAGTTCTCTGCAGATTTTGGCCATCTCTTCCAGTAATTGACCTCTCCTCGTCCATCTTTCTCCCATGTCCTGATGGTTCATCCTATGCGTGAGCCACACGGCAATCTTCACGCTGTTCAGACCGTTCATGTCTTTGAACACGATCATCGGAGCTGGATACCAATGCTCTTTCTTGATGTCCACGTAACTGCCATTGAACAATAACCAGAGAATAAATATATATACACACTTTCTCAAGACTTGTTTTTCATCAACACAGATTCTGCATTGTCTGAAAGTTAGGGTGAACAGATACACTGAAACTCACCTGAGAATCCTCTGTTTCATGGCGGAGATCTTATCGGATGGAGTAGTGATGTGGATGAAGAACTCGATTGCGTCTCCCATGTCGGGACTGCGGTAGTAATTCGCGATCGATTTCGTTCCGAGAAGGCTGTTCGGGTAAACGATCTTCTGGTTATCGTATCGGAGAAAAACTGTCGTCAAGATGTTCATCTCTTCTACGATCATCTGCATTCATTTCCATGTCCAAAACAGAGGGTTCAGCTCTTCTACGATCTTCTACGCTGCTAGATAGTGTTTATATTGACTCATAGAACAAACCTGGACGCCATCGATTTCGCAACGGTCACCGACATCAAAAGGATGCATAACGAAGAGGAAGATGATAGCTTCAAAGATGGTCTTGCACGAGTTTCCAAACACGAATGCCGCGAGCAGGAGCTGAGAGCTTATCAGAAGCAAGAATTTCGTTGTGGCGATTCCGAGTATAAGAAGCGAGATGACTGCTATAACAATGGCCACCAACACATTGACGATGTGATGAAGCTTGTTCACCGCCGTTTTGGTGTCGTTCAGTGTTAAGGCAAGCGCCCTCCTTTCCCGAAACGCGTTAACCTAAATCCGAAACGAAATTGCGGGTCGGAAACTTTGAGGTCTGAAAATGAGAGAATATTAGAAACTGAAACTGAAACTTACCACCCAGTTTTTCAGACAATATTTGGTTAACCGACGGCTTTCAGAAGCTCCTTCGAAGAGTCCCATTGCCCTTTCAGCCTCTTCTTCTGACAGAAATCGTAGAAGATCTTCGAAATATATGTACCTGAGGGGAAAATATCCGAAACCCGAATCTGAATATACAGTTCAAGATCTGGAAAGATATTTGGTAAGAGCATTTTTTTACTTGGATCCTGGTTCTGCAACATTCTGAAAAATCTTCCTCGCTGCGAGTTTTGCTTCGTATTCGCTTCTTATCTCTGTGGCCTCCTGAATCTGTTCGTCTAAAGTTGAAAGGGATCCCTTTCGGATAATGTTTATCAGTCTCTTCATCCTCCATGCCGAGACGTTCTTAGTGTTCAGTCTCTGCAAATGATCGATCCTTATCCCGTCTTCTTCGTCTTTCTCCTTCTTCGAACAAACCCTAGAAATCGCAGGACTTTTCTGTGACCTTCCACTTCCTACAACGGCCTTTCCCTTTAGACCCTGTGGCAATGAATCTCCTCTCTTCACCTCGTTCTTGAGTTTCCCTTCCTCTTCCTCGGTTCTCTGGATCTCGATCGGAGGAGGACCCGAGAGAGCTTCGATTACGTACTGCGTGAATAACGATTCTTGAATCCGATCAAAGTATGTGCTCATGTGGAATGAAGAGGCAAGAACCTTAACCAGAAGGGTTTTCACCAGCCAGATGATGACAGCGACGAGCAAGCAGATCAAAGCCTTGGTGACATACTTAAGCGGCGAGCTCCGAGTCTCTCTCTCGACTTTCTTGTCGAACAAGAAATGCCAAGCGATCAACACGAGCCCGAGCCACAGGCAGTTCTGAACCGGTTTTCGGATGCCGTACACGAAGTACAGAACCCTCTTTCTCAAAAGGAAGTTGCTCTCAATGAAGAACACCACAATCCTCACTATCCAACTCGAAACCAGTCCTCCACATATCAAAATCAGAATCATTACATCCCATTTCCATAGATCTAGGTTCCACAGTTTCTTGCCGCGCAAGTAAGGGACAGTGAGGATGCAGACCAGACCAGCTACGATCAGAATCAGGCTTATCCACTCTAACAAAACCCAGATGCTGAGTTTACCCTTCTTGAACTTTTCAGGCAAGTCCTCGTCGGAAAATGGATCTTCTTCTTCCTCCTCCTCCACTGTGCCAACACCGCGAGGCGTGGCCGTCGCCGTCTTAGGGCTCTTCCCCATAAACCCAGATTTCCGAATCCGACCAGACTTCATCTCTGTCCTGTCCGTCGATGGATGCGCCGGCGTCGGCGGATCCAACAACCTGGATCTCGTCTTTGTCTTCAGCAGAGTTTTGTTCCTCAACGACCTGTTCGAGCTGCAGTGAACAACCTCTGCTTCATCTTCCTCTTCTTCGTCGCCACTGCAGTCACCGCCCATTTGCGCCGGCGAATTCAGGACCGTGCTCTGTCTCCATCTAACGGCGTCAGTATTTCCGTTAGTCTCACGGTAACTCGCCGTCGCCGGAGACGGAGATTCAGAAATCGCCGTCAGGCCACGTGGCGGCGTGGTGTTGCTCTGTAGCTCCGCCATGTTGATGTCCATGTCGAGTGAGAACTCGCCGGAAGCTTTCTGCTGGTGGAGGAAACGATCGATGAGCCTCGACGGCGGATCCGTCTCCTCCGACCGACCCAAGAAGTCGAAACCGCCGGCGTATTGACCGCCGTCACCGTTGATCTTGACGACGACGTGCCGCTTATCAGCCGAATCAACGGCCATGATGGTGGATCCCGTAAAAGGATCAACCTTTACAGTACGATCTACGTGGGTTTTTAGTGTTATCTGTTTCTGGTAAAGGTTCAGATTTTTCTCTCACCCAGAAAAAAAAAAAGTCGAGATTTTTCCTTTTGCCGAGACAAGTGTGAAGCTTGAGATTGATAAAGAAAGAAAGCGGTGTTTGGTTTCCGAGAAACCGGAGGAAAACATTACTCTTATGACATGGTTGGTTCAGATCCAAGAGAGAAAACGAAATATATAACATACCTGTTTGACATAGATTTTGATGATGTACTTGCGATGGGACTTTGGTCTAAATCAGCATTTTTTCCCCCTGCGAATAAAACATATTTTATCAGTTCATTAAAATAACCTCAATCAGAAATATAATACTTTTGAAATAAAAGCAAACAAGGATGATTATGATGATGCACCTTCTCATGTTCGGAGCCGTAGCAGTCGATTGATTTGAAATTGAATTTGTATTATATTATATTATATGTATGGTTGACAGATTGCCTTACGTGGCAACATCGTAACGGCCGATTTATATCTGAGTCAGACACGTGGTCTGCTCAATGTCTGAAAACATCGCCGAATAAAAAAAACACTTCATTAGTTATAAAAAGAAAACATCCATTTATTATATCTGTGTTATATATATATATATATATATATATATATGGTTGTCAAATTGAAGTTTGTTTCTTGCCTTTTTTTATATATTAATTCAATAAAACGATCTAAGTAACAAAATTCGAACCCAATACATGAGATAAAATCGAAATGGAATTACCTAGAAATCCGAATACCTCGGCCCATTATCATATACAAGCCCATAACATATGTGGGCCCATTAACATATCCAGCCCGTTAATTGAAACAGAAGTGTAAGAAGCGAACGATTACTGTAGAATCTTCCTAAAACCCTCTCTAAACCCTTCCTTTCTTTTGCCACTGCTTCATCGAATCAGTGAAGCTCCGAAGCGCTTCAATGGCGGCTTCTAGTCGTTGAGCCCACAACACTCTCAACACATTGGCTTATTCTCCTGCAGCCATGGCGATTCTGCTGAAATCTGTCTTACAAAACCAGGCCTTTCCTCGCTTTCTTCGGAATCCCCAATCCGTCTCGCCTCTGTTCACTTCCCGAACCCTAGTCTCGTCGACCGAAGATCCCAGAAAGCCCCTCTCCGTCTTGTTCGAAGAAGCCGTGGGGTTGAGACCAAGATCGGAAACGAGCGAAATCGGAGACGAAGACAACGAATTGAAGAAACAACTGTTCGAATTGGAGAGAACACTCGTTGACCTGAAGAAATCGGAACCTGCGAAGGATAAGCGGGAGAAAAAGGTTGCAAAACCAAAGGAAATCGAGGAACGGAAGAGTCTTTCCTCGTTGTTTAGGGGAGATAAAAGCAATGAACAGAAGGGTGAAGATGGTGATCAGAAACAGGAGGAGAGAATTAGGGTTTTTAAGGAGCTTCCACTCGAGATGATTTCGTTTGTGAAGCTTCTGCACAAGGAAGGGTATTTGGACAGAGCCAATTTCCTGCGTGGGGAAAAGTTGGATGTGGGGAGTTTTGATGATGAATATGCTAGAACTTTCTTGAAGTTTGCTGCAGAAAGGTTTGCAAGGGATCACCAAGAAATAGCCAAGTAAGAACATTGCCTTCACTGTTCATATGATTTTCATTTTTGAATGGCGACGTTAGATTACTGAAGTTGAATGTGATTGGAGGGGAAATTCTTGTAATTTCCATTGATGAGGGTAATGAAACTTTGGCATATTCGATTTAGAGACCTGTGACTCATTTCATGAAGGGAGAAAGCTTGGTTTTGGTAGCAAGTTTGGCGCCAGTATAATCGAAAGGATCTCTTTTGTGGTGAATTGTCTTTACATCATACAAATGCTCTCCGGCTGTAGCATTGACTAAGAAATTCCGGTTGGAGGAGTGGTTGATATAGCTAAATGCCGCTTGACAGCCACTTAGAATGGATTGAATTGTCGGGTTTCAGACACATTCCTGATACGAAACATGTCCATTTGATTCGATATGGTCTTGGCTCTATCTTAACTATTCCTCTGGCTATTTGGGTTTCTCAGTCACATTTTCTACTTGCCTTAGCTGTTTTTGTTACCGGACAGCGTTTAACAGTTCATCTTGTTTCCCCCACGACACTCTATAATGTCTGATTCAACTTACAGGTGGTTATCAGGCAGCGATTTGAAGAGTATTGTGCTATTCGGTTGCCCGAGTTTGGAGAGAAGGTCTTTGTTCTCTGCCAAAACATTGCGCAAGTTTTTCGAGATACCCGAAAACAATGTAAGCCATGTCTTCACTTTCATTTCTCTTCTCTCCGTATTCAACATTTCGAAACTGTGAATCAGATTATTGGGAATTATGGAGTAATAATGTAATGTAAGCTCTCTGTAATTCGCAATAAAGATGATGTTTTTGACTGCCTCTTGACAACAGGTGTGTGACAAATGCATGATAAAGGATAAATGCAAGTTTCCAAACCAAAGCGTGTGGAAAGGTAACACGAAGAACTTGCATTTATCGGTCGTGATGAAGGTAATCGCGATATACTCATTGGATCTGACTCATCCCGATCTTCAAGTGCCTGAAGAGATACATGGCTCGGTCTTGCGGTTGTTGATGGAGATTCAGAATCTGAGCAAAACCGTCTCCAAATGTCTCGTTTGAACTAAAACCTTGTCGATTCGAATATGTAATTTGTCTGAATGTTAGATTACTGCTTTGTAGAATCCATGCGTTTTACAGATGCATGGATGGATGAAATGTGGGAAAGTCTGAACCTTTGGTTCTCTAGTACAATGGCAGGAAGATTTGGGAGACTCTCTATTTGAATCAGAAGCTTTTAGAAGAATGTAACAAGTGTGAACATATGTTCTGCGGTGGATATTATCCAATAAATGACAAGGAATTTTAAGAAATAATAAAAAATGTCTTTTTTGGGAAGGAATATTTTTGCCTGAGGAATTGCCCTATCTTCAAGAGCCACACTTATTGCCATCAACGAGGCGGTCATCAGATCTCTGTTGCGCCCTCTCTCGAGTTCACATTCTCCTATACTTCGATTTTCAGGGGGGGAAATTGTGCTTTATTAAATTCCGAATTTTTCATCTCTCAGCTTTTTCGATACTGTGTTGAACCCTAAATTTATGGGGTTTCTCCTCTCTGTGTGAATTCGGAGCTGTGGAATCTACGCTGTTATACCTCAAGTTCATTTCTTTCTTTCTGGATTGAAAAACCCTTGTCTCGTGGCTGTACATCTCTTGAATTCGGCCAATTCTGGCTACGCTTTTTGGCTTCTCGCTATTGATTATCGTTAAAGTTCAATCCTTTTTCTTTGTCTGATTCCTTCTGCCGTGTTCTTACCGATCAATTCTCCAACAGCTTCTGGTGATTCGCATGAACGTTTGAATACCTAAGAAAAATGTCCGTGGAGAGGTCGTTTGAAGCCTGGGAAGAGGTTCAGCGGCATGGGCAAGACCTGGCTGACAGACTTGCTCAGGGCTTCACGGGTTTGATTCAAATCAACCCACCTTCGTTTCCATGGCCGAATCCGCCGAAAGCGAAGCTATTCGATCTCGAGTTTCCGGGTCACCATTTCGGGGTTATGGATCCGGGGTTTGCTATGGAACAGTCCATCAATGGCGTCTCAGCAATCCTCGACATCGGGAACAGGATCGGTCAAGCTGGGGTTGATTTCGGCGCGGGATTGAACGTGATGGTTCAGCAATTCTTCAGGAGATTGCCTGTGCCGTTCCGACACGAGGAGAACTCGCCTGTTTCTACGCCGGAAGATCGGAATATTGAGAACCAGAGGGCTTATTTGGACATGAGTATGAACACAAAAGAAGACTTGGGTTTGGCTGCGGAACGGTTGAGAGATTCAGGTTTTACGAAGACAGGCTCTGTTTCTGTCGCAGTGACTGAAGAGGAAGTTCCTGAGTTCAATTTAAGGACTGCCGGATTGCTCGGGAGGCCGAAGGTATTAGTAGCAATGGTGCCACGGTTATTGTTCTTCGGCTTTTCGGTTGATGTTGGTTTTTGTTATCTTCTTCTGAGAAAAGGATGTTAAGTTTGTAGCTGTTTCGTAGCAATATAGTTGCCAACACATATACAGAATAGATATCAATGACGACCATTTAGATGAGGCTCGATCCTGATCCAGGAAGCTTAGCATTTAGGATTTGCTCTCAAACAATTTGCTTTAAGGATTCTGGTGCAAATCTTGAAGCTTTGTTATGCTAAGGGCCTTGAGAAATGTTCTTTTGGGTTTCGGGGTGTATGGTTGAATCGAGTAACATTACGGGTAAGGAGAAACTGTTTTCGTGTTTGAATTGTGTGACTTTATTGACTGTATGTGTCTCGTTCGATGCAGGGAATGGTTGATATGATGTCAAGTTATGACAGTAGGACAAATGATATGGAACATTCACTGGTGGCCAAGGGAGATCTCTGGAGAGTGGAAGCTTCGACTTCGAGTTCCACTGCAAGAGACGATAGTTCATCCCTCTTTCTTCTCCAGCTCGGACCGCTTCTCTTTCTCCGTGATTCAACTCTTCTTTTACCCGTTCATTTATCAAAGCAACACCTGCTCTGGTATGGATACGACAGAAAGGTATGCTCGAAAGTTCGGAGGGACGTGTGTTTAGAACGAAATCACAAAATGGATAAACTATGATTTGAATGTATAATATTCTTTCCAAGCTATTATTGTTACCCGTCTTAGCATTCAAAACCCGGATTTTTTTTCCTGCTCCTCTAAATTTATCCTTTTACCCGTCATCTCAGAGAGGTATGCATTCACTCTGTCCGGCCATTTGGTCAAAGCATCGGAGGTGGCTCATGATGTCAATGCTCTGCCTCAATCCTTTAGCTTGTGTAAGCATTTATATTTTAAAGTTCTTACAGAAGAATATTCATTCTTTTCCTTGTATTTCATGCACGATATGTGTTTTAAAATCTTTGTACGAACAGTCCTTTGTAGACTTGCAGTTCCCGAATGGGCAATTGACGTATGTATCTGGCGAGGGATTGACGACGAGTGCCTTTCTACCTTTCTGCGGTGGCCTCCTTCAAGTACAAGGTCAATATCCGGGAGATATGAGATTTAGTTTTTCGTGTAAGGTTAGATCATATATCTGATTCTCTGAGTAAGAAGAAAAAAAGCCCTGAATTGCTTACAAATGTGATCAAAGTTACGGTTTGATGGCTTGAAACAGAACAAATGGGGAACAAATATCACGCCGATGGTATATTGGCCGGACAAATCATTTGCGTTTAACCTTTCTCAAGCCTTGGCATGGCGGAGATCCGGGCTGATGATGAAACCCACAGTTCAACTAAGGTAAAAGCTTTCAGAAATTCACTCTCTTTTCGGTGAGAAACAGAGGAGGATAAAAAAACCGCAGGTCGGATATCTGAAATTCGGATACTGAAACACTATATGAGATGAGATCAGATTATAAGTTTTTGGGTTTGGGTTTGGGTTCAGGTAATTGGGTCTGAGATTGGGTCTTACCTGCAGGTACAGAATGAACAGTAAAAATACATTTTCCCTAGATTTTAGAGATATCACATATAAATCTATTGAAATCTCTTCAAATTTTGGGTTTGGTCTGGTACCCGAAATTTATCTCAAGTACTCAACTTGCTAGTACCTGATCGAAACAGACCTATATATAGAGTAATATCTCGTGAGATCCGAGACATTCACATTCGAGTCGGGCTAACCTGAAAGCCTCGGATACTGACCCGTGTCCACCCCTTAGCTCTTACTCACCATTTATGTATTTAACGATATTTAACAGCGTATGTCCCACATTTGGTGGAAGCAATCCCGGGATGGTGGCAGAAGTTATTCACTCATTGAACGATGATCTGAATCTGATATGTGGATGTACCCTCACAGCAAATCCTTCAGCATTTGCATCTGTCTCGGTTAATTACCTTTTTTTTCCTCTCTTTCTTGGATTTCTTCTATTTTCGCCATATTTCTTGAACATATACACATTATGTGTGTCTGTAAATGCAGTTTGGGAGGTCCAAGTGGAATGGTAACATCGGACGGACAGGAGTTGTCCTTAGAGCCGAAACTCCTCTTGCAAGCGTTGGCCGTTCTTCGTTTTCCGTCCAGCTTAATAACGCCTTCGAGTTCTGAATGTATGTATATATATGTAGATAGAGACATATATACACACACACAGAGCTTGGTGATGTTCATATGGTTTTGGATCTTTTTTTGCTGCAGGGTATTTGTGTATAATTAACTCTGTAGCCCACAAACACTTGGATGAATTACAGACTCTGTTCTGTTGAATTCCGACCGCTTTTAAGCATATGATCTCTTAGTGTCGTCTCTCTGTTCTGTTGTTTTCGGACGAATATGTAATCTTCGCAGTCAATCCAACAGGTAACAGCTTTCCCGATGAAGATGATTGAGTATTCTTGTTGGCTGATATCTTTGCTTTCGGAACTTTCTAGAACAATCTAAGGGCAGAAAAAGGAACCCGGAATTCGGATATCTGATTCGATTTGTGGGTCGATATCCGAAATTTGGATGTTCCGTTACCCTAACTGCTGTATCCACATGTCCGAGCCAAGTTGATGGATCCTTCCTGTTCAAAGTGTTCCTCGTACCTGTTCTTGCAAAAACCGTGCTTGTTCGCGTTGATGGTTCTGTATTCCGAAGAAAGTTTGTATCTTTTTCAGGTAAATGGCAAGTTTTCTGAAGAAAGTTTTTATCTTGAAATGTATATGCGTGTATATATATATATATATATATGTGTGTATGTGTATATATAGTCGTGCTCTGTTCCATTGTATTTATGCTACGGCCTAACCCACTTTGCCAAGATTCCAAAAAAAAAAAGACAGAAGAACACGAACAGAGACTTGAAGTTTATCTGAAGAGATGGGTTCCGTGGGATGTCTGGCCAAACAGAAGTCAACTACTGGAACAATTATTAAAAGATTATTCATTAAAGGCTTCTAGATTTTTATATATATATATATGCATATTTGATGTCTATTTTTAGTAGAATTCAAAGTGATATTTATACATCGTTGAAAATTCATGTTTTCTTTGAAGAGAGAATGAAATGGAAAAAAAACTACGGTCGGTATTTAACATTAATCTCGATTATAATTTTGAAATATAATCCAAAAACCTTTTGTTAACTAGATTCTGGTGGGCTCCACGACGAAGAACGGACAAAGTCGTGACAAAGTCAAACGTTCAAGCTTCGTTAGAAAAGTCGAACTTTGAATTTCAATAATATTTTTTCAAATAAAGACTTGTCTCATTACTTATAGCCACCAATCATGTTGTAGTTAAAAATATGCATCAAGCATTATGCTATATATCCTTTTATTTTAAAATGCCAATTTGCATAGTAAAAGCCTTTTATTACACACACACACACACACATATATATATATATATATATATATATATATATATATATATATATATATTTTGTTTTT